TTCATCCCAAGCTTAGGAAGCTCGTGTATAGTCTTAAATAAATATGTAATTATTTTCATTAATACCACTTGAACTTATTTTAAGTTGTGTGTGTGGTTTTTTTTTTTTTTTTCTTGCCAAATTCATTTTATCACCCAGTGTATTGCCTTCACAGTGTAGTAATGAGCCCCATTCTGACTGCACTCACCAAGATGGTGTTTCCTCTTTTTAATCAAAGGTGTCAAAAATGAGAAAATCAGGTATCCAGTGAGAAAATGGATTGGTTTTATTATAAAGCCAGCGTCGACATTTATTAGGTTGAGTGTACACAACCACATACCAGAGCACAGAAACGCTCAGCATAGAATCTGGCAGTAACCAGCTGACCTTTGGGTCTCTTTACTCGGCCTCGGTAGGTTATGCTCCTGAACGTGCAGCACACCACTGATTGCCAAATGAGCTAAAGTAATTAGAGTGGCTGCTGGGAGGTCACAGATGGTTTCCCCAGAAAAGACAGCCTCTTACAGGTACTGAAAGCTTTAATGGAAGTGATTCTGTTTACTTGCAGGAAGCAAGACTTCTTGCTTGAAGAGACTGATCAATTCTTTCATGTAATAGAAAATTTAATTGAAGACACCATCCAGAGGTGACACTATTATTCAGCGAGTGGCTGCTCTTGGCATTCTGTCACGATCGTTGGGATTGGCTTAATATTTTCATTGTTGAATTCACTTGACAGAACCTCTAAATTACATTAAGGTTGTTTAAGCATGAATTTTGTGAAGGCAATCTGTTTGAATTTGAACCATATGTAACGCATGCCGCTGATACATCAGAAGGATAGTTTCACAATTATTTACAAGGCAACATAGCATCTACTTCCGCTACCAATGAGGTGTGAAAAGCACCTCACCCTCATACCAGTAATCCGGGTAATTTGTTTTGAAGCAAATGTTTACTCTGAAGTGGAAATGGACTGTTTATTAATCGCGTTCCCTTGTCTCCCAGGAGGAAGGTGTGGAATATGATGTCTTTTGTGAGTGTCCACTTTGTAATTAACAGCATGCATCAGTCAACAGACGATTAAGGAACACTGTTTTAAGACCATAAATGGGGGGGTGGGAAGCAATCTGGAGAAAACGAAAAGCTTTTATTAGTAACCTGCCCATTACACCACACCCACTCTGCGGGGACTGTTTCTGGACCTGTAAATTCTTCATGGAACCTTCTCCCACTGGGGCTGCCACACTTTCAACTCTACCTATGGGTCCCTGGACGATATCCTTCTTCTGACTAACCCCCTGGGGTGGTGTGCTCTGTTGCATGCCTCCTATTTACACACTCAGCCAGAGGCTTGGGACCATCTCCTCGTGCTTTTAATACCACACCCCGAATCATTTGTCTCTGAGATGCCCTGCACCCTTACTTTTGCTCCCAAGCCCTGTTGTGTTACAGACAGGCCGAGGCACCAGCTTTCCTACTGGGCTCCCTAGCTTCTTCGCACAGCTGTTAAATGACTTACTGGAAATTCAGACCTGCACTTCAGCATCATTTAGAAACAGGAGCACCTAGAGGTGTATGGTCATGTGGTGTGGCAGTCAGGACATCTCTGGTGACCTCACCAAGGGCTGCACTGGGAGGGTGGCAGTGATGAACATTGGGTTAGTGAATTCAGTGGAGTGAAAGTGGGATAAGACGTGGGGATAGTAAATGTGCTTTCTTATTGATTTCAGAGAGGAAGGGAGAAGGAGAAAGACATGGGAACATCCACGATGAGAATGAATCATTGGAATCAAACTGTGACCTCCGGGTTCTTAGGTAGATGCTCAACCATTGTGCCACACCAGCTTGGCCGCAATTGCTTGTTCTAGGCATTTGTGTGAGGAGGCAAAAAGAAAATGTTCAGAAGTAGAAAGATGGCAAGTAGTTAAGAGCAATGTTTTGAAGTTGGAATAGAGATTTGGATATGTTTATTGGCTCACGAGGAACGGCTGGAGACGACAGGACTAATGGAACAAAACTCCGGAAAAAAAATGGAAGAGAGACAGAAGGCCTGATGTAAAGGCACTGGGGAGCGGACCATGTCATTATGAGGCAGACTGCATGATCCTCTTACATTTCTACCGAGAGCAGGGGAAAGAGGATGATAATATAGTTTTCAAGTTAGGAAGGAAAGAAAATTAGAGAGTTTATTTTTAGGGCTTCGGTTAAAAGTAACGTTGGTAGAGATTGAACTGACATTGGAGGATAAGTGAATTTCTGGAGTAATTAAGAAGAAATTAAAGGGCAAGATAAATAATACTTAAAATGACTGATGGGACCAGTTAAAATAGTAATTGAAACACATTGCAATCTATTGGTGCTAACCCATACATCAGTGTAGTTCTGATCTATATACATGAATTCCTGGTGTTCAGGAAACTGGGGACAGTTAGTGAAAAAACGGGATTGCATTGTTGACACAAAGGACCCACGAGGGGAGTTTTGCTCAGTGGGTGCAGATGAAGAATAAAACTGTTGAGAGTTTAGTTCAGATGGTGAATCACAGATCCTAGCACAGAGGAGAGGGAAGGCAGAGCTGTGTGGGGATATTAGACTAGGATGAAAAGCAGGTAATCCAGAGACTGGAAGTATCTAAGTCTCCTGAGCAGGTTGAATAAGATATCTGTGCACCTGGCAGTGTAATGGGAGAAAGGGATATTTGAGCTAAAGATTTCTGCAATGCCTTAGCTCTGAACAATGACAAAATAAAGGTCCTGTCATGAGTAATGGGAAAGGGTGGGTGGCTAAAAACTGGAGACGATTCGTTAGATTAAGAAGATCCAGGCTTTGACTTTCAGGATGGTGATAATATTGGGAATCTTCTTCTTTCACAGGAGGTTACCACGGGCATCTACTATAATTCTGCTCAAGGAGCTTGCATGGACTCTAATTACATGATAATGTCATTCTGAGAGTATCTTTATCTCTTTTTAAAGAGTCTTTACAAAGCATAGAAAAGAAGAGAAAAGGTCCTTTTTTAAATTTCAAGTGACCCCAGATGATAGTTATGTACTTACTCTGCCGTGTTGAGGGAGAGAATTCTATTAAGCAGGTTATTTAAATGGGTCAGCACTAATAATAATATCTGATGAGGTTAAAGTGTTGAGCCGTCATAAGTGATAATTTCATCTTAAAACAATGTGAGTAGGTGCCTCAAGTAAAGGTGCAAAAGCATCTCACTGTACAAATGTGCATTTCACACACACCTTGTTTTAAATCACATCTCTATAGTCTTAGGGCTGCCTGACTTGAGATCCCAAGTTCTCCAATTGTTGAATGAAGATAATACAGACCTTAGAGTTGTTGTAAGACTTAGAATACACTTATAACTTATTCAATACTTTTTAAAAAAAAAAATTAGAAATAGTAGTAAAAATAACATTATGGTATTCCTTAAAAAGGTACATGCGATATGTGTATCTATTCTTTGTAGTTGCTAGGTTAACATTTATTTATTTATTAAATTCTGTCCACAAATTATAGATACTTTGTCTTCTCCCCTAGATGTGCAATAGTTCTCTGGGTTTTCAAATATGTTTCTGGAATTATCCTAAAATAGTGAGACATTTTAGGATAATTCCAGAAACTGTCTGAGTGGAGACAGTCAAATGAGGAGATGTGGATAAGACTTCTTGCATGGTGGGAGAATCCGGATGGGCTGCCGTAGTGAGAATGGTCAAATGGTGCTCTTCCAAATGGCTGTTTCCCTGCTCTGCTGCCTCTACCCCCTGGGGTGGGACCAAGCCTGGAACCTATGTTGGAACATAGCTCAGAAATCTACATTTGGACTCAGATCCTTTCCGTCTGTCTTCCAAGATTCCCCTCCTAGGACACCCATCTTCCTCTTTATGGCTCTCAATTCTAATTTATTCTCAGACAACTGAGTGACACTGACCACTCCAAACAGTTGTTGTTTGGGAACTCACAAATATGGTTCCCCTCATTGAGTATGGCTCTGTCAAATCCCTGACACTATTAACACAAATGTTTATTGAGTTTCTCTAAGCAATGCTACTTTTTATTTTCATGTTTTTGCTGATTTCTACATTTGAGGATGACAAAAGGAGTTGATAACAACCACAAGTCAAGTCTTCCATGCAGTGCCATCAGTCACTGTGGTGGCATTAGGCTTCAGTTCCGAAACCCTGGGTAAAGTTTCTTAAGTTTCTCTCAAGCAGAATATTTTGTTGCAAGACCACTGAAGGAGATTGGAGAGGTTGCAGGTCAGGCTGAGAGACATCCCCATCCCCGTGCATGAATTTTGTGCACCAGGCCTCTAGTCCAGAAATAATTACAACCAAGAAGGTAAATATCCTATACTCAAAAAATTCTAAGACACTGAAAAAAGAAATTGAAAAAGATACAAATAAATGGGAGCATATACCATGCTCATGGATAGGAAGAATTAACATTGTTAAAATGCCCATCAACAAAAAGTAATCTATAAATTCAACCCAATTCCTATAAAAATATCAGTGAGGTATTTCACAGGACCAGTAGAAATAATTCAAACATTTATATGGAATCACAAAAGGCCCCGGATAGCCATAATAATCTTGAAAAAGAGAAGCAAACTTAAAGGAATCACACTGCCAGATATCAATCTATCCTACAAGGCCATAGTGATAAAAACAGCATAGTACTGGCATAAAGACAGACATTTACACCGATGGAAGAGATTCTAGAGTCCAGAAATAAACCCACATCTCTATAGACAATAAATATTTGACAAACGAGGCAAAAACATACAATGGTAAAGACAGGCTAGTCAATAAATGGCTTGGGGAAAATTTACAGATACGTGTAAAAAATGAAACCAGACCACAACTTATACCATACACAATAATGAACTCAAAATGGATTAAAGACTTAAAAGTAAGATCTGATATCATAAAAATCCTAAAAAATATAAGCAGTAAAATCTTTGATGTTTTTCTTGGTAATATCTTTCCTGATACATCTCCTCAGGCAAGGGAAACAAAAGGAAAAAATAAACAAGTGGGACTATGTCAAACTGAAAAGCTTTTGCACAGCAAAGGAAACCATCAGCAAAATAAAAAGACAGCCCACTGAATGGGAGAGCATATTTGCCAATGATGCATCAGATAAAGGGTTAATACCCAAACTTAATATTATCTTAATACCAATAAATAGACAGTAAAATGAGTCAGCCAGAGAAAGACAAACACCATATGACTTCATTTATATATGGAATCTAAGGAATAATATAAACAAACAAGCAAAACAGAAACAGACTCATAGATACAGAGAATACAGTCAAGGTTGCCAGAGAGGAGGGGGGTTTGGGACTTGGTGTAAAGGGGATTGGGAAGTACAGACTCCTGTTACCAAACTGACATGGGATGCAAAGTGCAGCCCAGGAAAGACAGTCAGTGATATTGTACTATGTATGCACGGTGCCAGGCGGGTCCTGGAAATATCAGGGCGACACTTACAGAATGTAGGTTGTTTGATCGTCTGGCCACTATGCTGGACATCGGGAACATCTGAAAACAGATACAAAATAATATTGAAGTAAACAGTAATTGGAAAAAAGAAAAGTGGCTACTGAATGCGGGGGTGGAGGAGGGAAGGATAGAGGATGTGACAGAGGAAAAGCAACCTGAAGGTCAGATCGCCATGACCCTGAGCCGAAGGCTTTTGAAACCACAACGAGCTGATGTAGCCACGGTGGATCCCCAAGGTGAGCCAGGAATGAGTCTGAAAAAGAAGCAGATTCTGGGCCGTTGAATGGCTGGACGTGGGTCTGACATTTTCCAGAACTTTAAAAGACATGGGGAAAGAAAAGGGGAAAGAAGCTGTGTGGTATAATGAGCTTATATGTTCTCAGATGTAGGAGAAAGCAGAAGAAAGGAAAGAAAAGATGAACATGAACAATCTATACATTATGAAAATAATCATCCCTACTATTTGCTGTCAGGATTACAAGAATTTTTTTTTTTTTTTAAATTGGGCAAGCTAGCTAGGTTTAAGTTAATTTACTTCAAAATCTTCAAAATACTCTTGTTTCCTTCTTAGACTGAAATTAGCTTAGATGGCATACATAATTAACTTTACATTAAATATGGCTATTCATCAGCATTGTTTTTTTTTCCTTTTCAATTTATGAATCCTAGTAAAGGAAGTAAAGAGAGGAACTTAAATTTCCTTTTATCCTTTTCTTTAAAAATATGATTTTTCTTTAAAAACTCATAGTGTTTTCTCATTAAGCTATTATTTTCCTGCTTTGTGATGTCTTCGAACCTATAAATAAAATGTTTTCACTAATGAATGACTGACAAATGGTTTGGCTGTGTCATTTATAATCAGACACTGCCTGCCCATTTTATGGCTTTATTCTACAGAGAAAAATTTATAAAAAGCTATATAATGATCCGCAATTTTATATCATTTTCTCCACATGACTGCAGAGTTCTTTTCAAAATAGAAACCGTGTTTGTATCTATGCCTGCAAGTATGTTGTGTTTGAGGAGACCAGTCACAACAAGAAATCAGAAAGCTAATTATAACTCATTTATTAAAACTCCATCAATCAGGAGAGGTAATTTTTCTGCCTGTGGGGATTTCTAATTTTTCCACAAGTGGCTCACTTATAATAAAGACCAAATAAACAAACATTTCGAATAGATGCATGAATTATTAAACATATTTTCAGAAGGAGGCACGAGTAAGGGCTGCTAATGTGCTTATGAACCTCCATGGCCCCCTGCTGCCATGCATAAGTAATAACAAAGGTCAGGGTGCACGGTGCATCTACAAAACTGGAACCGTAACTAGGAATTTCTGTCTGCTTCCATGGCTTTGCAAAAGAGAATAATTAAGCAACCTAAGGAATTCTAGAATCGAGGGGATGATGAATAATAGATCACAAGGAGAGATGAGGGAGGAAGTTATGAAGAAAGAGAAACATGACATAAAATGAATCCACAAGAATCGAGGTTGTACTCATTCAGCTAATGGGGCCCCATCAGCCCCAAAATTACCTACCTACCAGCCTTTTAACTATGTCACAAGTCGCTATTTTTGTAATTTAATAATTTCCTCTCAAACTGACTAAAATGTTACCATGGTACTTTCCTTCTCTAACTGACGAACCCTGACACTCCATGGCTTCACACAGAGCATTTCAGTCCCCGAGCTCGAGCCTCCCCCCCCCCTCCACTCAGCCATGGGGGGCCCTACTCTACAGTCACTCAGGGTCCTGGCTGCTGGAGGCTGTGATAATTCCAGCGGATTCCCTACTTCCCAGTCACGCTGAAGGAAAAGGAAGAGCAGAGGCCCCGTGGGCTGAGGAAAGGAGTGTTTACTGTTCTCACCCAGTGTCCCTGGCCAAAGCTGTCACAGGACCCACTTCACAGCACGGGGAAGTGGAAACGGACCTAGCCCCGTGCTCCGGGGAAAGGGAGATGTGGTTGGTAAACAGCTACCTACTAAATGTGTAGGAAGAATCTTAAAAAGCAAAGCAAAAAATTGGTGGGACTTTCAAAAAACAGATATATTTTTCTTGATTTCAGCTCCCCACTGGGGACTGAGCCTACAATCTTGGCATGTGCTCTGACCAAGAATCAAACCATGACCTCCTGATTCATAGGCACAGGCTACATCCCTGAGCCATGCCTGCTGGGCATGTGTAGGCCTTTTGAATGCCAGAGTGTCTCTGTTCTCAAACGGCATCAGTGCACACACACATCACTTGGCTATCTTAGTGAAATGCCTAGTAATGTTCCATACCTCTGAAATGGGGCCCGAGTCTGCCTGCTGACAGGCTCCCAGGTGATGCTGATGCTGTTGGTGCCCAGATCGCAGCCACAGAAAACAGTCAGGCCGGGTCGTTATGTGAAAGCAGCCCCCTCCCCCCAACCCAAACAAGCAAAATCCGAGGCCCAGGGTGGCAGGGCTCAGCCCTACAGCTCGCGCCTGAATGCCTCTTCCCTCTCCGTGCCCTGCTTCTGCTGAGTCAGGTGACTTCAATAACACACGGTTCTGCCGAGAACCAATCCCAGCATGTCATAATTACAAGAGTTTTACCAAAAGGGTGGTGAAGCTTGGGGAGCTCAACAGGGGTGAGTCACATGTAGTTCACCTGTTGGAAACGGCTAAGGCACTTCCCCCAAACCTGAATAGGATGGTTGTTAACTGCCAGACAGCTCAGGGCATTTTATTGCCTCCTGTTGTCCAAACACCTGAACAGCTGTAGGCTATTCCCCAAACTGACAATCTTTGTAAACCCTTTGCCACTGTACCCTTTGGAGCAGGCATCTTCAAACTACGGCCCGAGGGCCACATGCGGCCCGCAGAGGAGTCTGATCCGGCCCGCCAGGTTTTTTGGGCAGTGAGCACAGCCGAGGTGTTACAGTAGGAATTAGTAGTTCATATAGTCCGGCCCTCCAGCTCTCTGAGGGACCGTGATCTGGCCCCCACTTTAAAAAGTTTGAGGACCCCTGCTTTGGAGTGTATGTCTCCACCTCGCCTTGGGACAAATTGTGTTTAATAAAAGCACAGGTCCTTGGTCAAGGAGGAGAGCCTTCTAGCTCCTTCAGCTGGAAGCTCCTCTGACCCCCAATGTCTCTCAAAACTATCTTTCGTCCACGAACTCCTTCTTAATCGTCTACACACAGCCCTTTCTCGGAACGCTGAGCCCTCTGTAAGGCTGGGGAAAAGGAGCCCAGGCACGGCATGGCTCCCCCAAAGCACACAGAAACCGGGGATGGATGAGCTCGTATCTGCGCGATGCTGCGGCCGCCCTGGGGAAGAGGCATGACGGATGTTCTCAGGATTGTATTGTTAGGAGGTGGTCATTGGCTGGAAGGAAAGAAAGTTCTATTGGGGGGAAGGGTGTGATCCTCCAAGTCTCTAAGCACCAGTCTGGAGCCTTTGTTGCCATAGTGGTGCCCATTATTCCACTGTGACATTTTCTCCGAGGCAGCAGACAATCAAACCATAGGAGGTCCACGGTCCCCTAGAATTGAGACCACTCTTTTAGCTTTGCCACACACCTGCCAGGAGGCCAGACCTTCAGAATGAACACGCACGCGTTGTATACACACTCATTGCTCTCTGCAGGAGCACAGGCATTCGGAGAGCATAGGACTGAGGCAGGCACCGAACCTAAGGTGACTGCAGAGACTGCCAACTGGGAGGGTTTCTCCTGCTAGCTGCACGTGTGCATTGCCTTTCTCTGCGCGCGCGCCCCCCCCCCCCCCCCACACACACACTTTTCCTCTTCTCTCTCTAGCTGGAGCCATGAAGCCCAGGGGGTCAGAGTTTGTTGATTGATTCATTCATTCATTCATTTATACGGTTTTACCCCACTCCCCATCAGCCTCCAGTAAGCTCAGAATTTGCTGAGGAATTAAGGGGGCAGCAAAGGACAAGTTGGGGAGCCACACTTGTCTTCTCCCTCTGCAGTCTACAGCCTGCTTTCCCGTCTACACTGGGAGGTGATTTTGTAGCACTTTCAAGAATATAAATAAGAAATTGTGATTGCTGCCGTGACTGGTTTGGCTCAGTGGATAGCGCATCGGCCTGAGGACTCAAGGGTCCCAGGTTCAATTCCGGTCAAGGCCATGTACCTTGGTTGCAGGCAATCCCCAGTAAAAGGTGTGCAGGAGGCAGCTGATTGCTGTTTCTCTCTCATCGATATTTCTAACTCTATCCCTCTCCCTTCCTCTCTGTAAACAAATCAATAAAATATATTTTAAAAATTGTAATAGTTATATCCTATTGGGGGTGGGGGCAGAGCAGAGTAAAATATAGGTAAAATCAAAGACATAAAGTCTATTCTTATCCTTATTCTTTGTGACTCTCTTCTAGTGGACTAAAATGCATGCTAAGTGGGAGAAATGTCAAATGTGGGATTTTGCATAATAATATTGGTCATCCATCACTTTTTGTCCTGGAAACTTATGAAATAGCTATTTTAAGGCACAAATATTATGCAGCACTGCCAGCATAGAGCATCCACTTAAAATGAGTTTGCATTTTGAATGAATAGCGGGTTTTGTCAATGATATTATCTGAATTATTCAAGCAAATGGAAATTTCCCCGGAATGTATACAGAAATGCCTCCATCACTTGGGAGCAAGACACCTGACCACATGTGT